AAGATTCATTCTCATGCAGCGCATTGCCCGTTACAACTATGTTGGGCCGTCGCCCAGCCAGGCACGCCCGAGCCAGTTGGGCAGAGGGGGGGTCGCCCGACAAAACCAGACGGTTCAAAAAAGAGGCAAGGATCCCCAAAAAAAAAAAAGGACTTCAGGCCAAGACTGCGCTTGGACCAAGCAGTCAGAATCCAGTCTTAACTTCGGTTTTGGTGATGGGTCATCCAGGGGGGGTTGGGGGGTATAAACAGTGACTAAAGGGCTTAAAAGGGCACATTTGGAGTCTTTTGGGACTCATGTTTTCTCATTTTTTTTAATCCTGAAATTAACAAGGAATTTCGAGGTGGCCCTCAACCAAAAGGCGTTTGTATTGCAATTTTACACGACATATTTTTTTTTCGGATTTTTTTGATTTTTTTATTTTCTATTTTTAAAAATATTATGTGCTATGATCGCCCGGGACCCTGCCCGGCCCCTGCCCGGTCCGGACCGCTTGAGAGGGTACCCGACCGACCTTCCCCCAGTCGGGCCGCCCGGGGACTAACACAGCGTTACAAGCTTTTCCCGTTTTTTTTTTTCCAGTTTTGCTCTCGATCTTTTCGACCCTTCTCCTCCTTCCCATCGTCGTCATCATCGTCCCGCTCCTCCTGCACGTCTTTGCAGGCGGTGTGTCTTCCCATGCCGCAGATATCTTCCCATGAATGCGGTGAATCTTCCCGTGCACACGAAAAATATGGCCGCGTATCTTTCCATGTTCTAGTGGAATATTCATTCCGCACGTATTTGCAGGCGGTGTATCTTCCCATGCAGACGAAAAACATGGCAGTGTATCTTACTATCTTCCGATGCTGTGGTTGAAGATTTGTTCTCATTCTCGTCATTTTCCTGTCGCAAGCTTTTTCCATGTTTTTTTTCTCCTGTTTAATTTCAGATCTTTTGTCCTATTCGTGGGACCCTTCTCCTCCTCGTCCTCGTCATTATCCACCTCCCACTATGCCTATCTCCGGCTACGCTCCTCATGCACGCACGTCTCAACCTCCTACTCGTCTTTCTCGTCATTGAACCGCTTTTATTTTCTTCGCTCTTCTTCGCTCTTCTTCGTCCATCTTCGTCTTGGTCCCCCTCCTTGTCGTTGTCGTCGTCCTCCCTCCTCCTTATTTGAACACCACTCCTAATCTTCCACCACGCCGTCTTCCCCCCGGTCTTACTACTACCACTTGTACGCCTCCGATGCCTTTCTCGCCCACCCTTGCTCCTTCATGAGCTTACCATTCGTTTGGGCCTTTTTAATGGGCAGTTTATAGTTGTGGAGGGTCATTGAACCACTTTTCTTTTCTTCGCTATTCTTCGTCCATCTTCGTCGTCCTCCCTCCTTATTTGACCACCACTCCTAATCTTCCACCACGTCGTCTTCCCACCCGGTCTTACTACTACCACTTGTACTCCTCCTCCAACGCCTTTCTTGCCCACCCTTGCTCCTTTATGAGCTTACCATTCGTTTGGGCCTTTTTAACGGGCTGCTTATAGTTGTGGAGCTTACCATTCATCACGGACACACGGACACTTTCAATGTTTGGAACTTATGAGGGGTGGCAGAGCACCACGAATCTTGGAGCCCATTCTGTTGTGTTCGTTTCCACAAAAATTTCACCCCATAGTGCTTGGGGAAACACCGTCCAAGTTCTGATTGATTCAATCAATCAATCAATCAATCCTTCTCCTTGATTGATTGATTGATTGATTGATTGATGATTGATGATTGATTGATTGATTGATTGATTCAGTCCAATCAATCAACCAACCAACCAACCAATCAATGAATCAATCCACCACAAGGTTTGATTGATTGATTGATTGACTGATTGATTGATTGATAGGTGCTGTATGATCGGACTACATCTAATGGTTGAAAGATCTGTTATGATTCATTTCGACCTCATGAGGGGTGGGGAAATGCTATCAACTTCTTGATTGATTGATTGATTGATTGATTGATTGATTGATTGATTGATTGATTGATTGATCAGCTTGACTGATTGATTGAGGGGGAGAGAGACAGACGCAGACTCAAACGACATTCAATCTGATCTCTCGTGGCCCCTTGTTGTTTGATTGGGCGGTTTTCATTGTCCGCAGGATGCCTAAAGGAGGTTCAGATGCCATTAAGCGGCACTTCGCGCATGGCGAACCTGTGGGGGCTGCATACAAGGCAACGACAGATCGCAGTGCAGGTACTGCGAACATGAGTTCCCGGGCACTGCGAATCGCTGCGCTAAGCACTTTATGTCGACGACGAAGGGGCCAAGATGTAACATGGCGAGGGTGAGCGATAGACTGTCGGCGGAGGAGAAAGAGAGGAGAGAGCTTAGCCAACTTGAGGCTATTGCTCTGGTTTTGGGAAAGCGGCAAGCGCATGAGGATGTTAACGAATTTGACGAATGTCGTTTCAGATGAGAGGAGCATGGACGAGCAGGCTGTGGGGGAGGAGGATGAGTGCAGTAGCCCAACCTCTCTGCAGGCAAATACCTGAAAGCAGCCAAATAGCGTGCGTTCATCCAACATCCGGGCACGACAAACCATGCTCGAAGAGGGTGGGGCAATTGTGTCAAAGAATGAGGAAGCCCAACGGTCAATTGATGATTGGTTGGTGTTTGATCGGGTCCCATTCACGCTGGTGCGCAGCAAGTACTTCTTGCGGCTGTTGCAAAAGGTTCCCGAAGCGGAGCGGTCATTCATCCCTGCGAAGTCCAATGTGCAGCGAACGAAAAAATTAGACCTCAGCGAGGCGCGTGTGACGCAGGGAGTAGCGCGGCAACAAAAACGATGGGCACGCACAGGTTGCATGCTCCTACTGGATGGGTGGACTGATTGGAGAGGACGACCACGCTTGAATGTGATGGTCTCCTTTCCGACCTGTGTTGTTTTTTGGAAATCCCACTGCATGTCGGGAAAGGAGAAAGGATCGGAGGCTTACTTCAACATTTTGTCGGAGTCGATCAAGGAGGTCAGTGACAAAGTTGCCGTCGGTGTCATCATGGATAATGCGGCTGTGTGTGCAAGAGCGGGCAAGCTGGTGGAGGACACATTTTCCACCATCTTTCATGTACCATGCACAGCCCATTGCCTGGACCTCATGCCACACGACATTGGGCGGACAGATTGGGTGGAGGAGGTTGTGGGAAAGGGCAATGACTTGGTGAAGTTCTTCATGAACCGCCAACGTGTACGTGACATCTTCTACGTGCACTCTGGAGGGAGGCAGCTGTTGCGACCTGCTGCAACACGGTTCACTACAAATTTTCATATGCTTGACCGCCTAAAAAAGCAACGAAATGCACTGGTTGCCACGGTCAGTCATGATGCTCGCTGGAAGCCGGCCGTGGTACCTCATGCGCAGAGCGACACATTCTACGAGATGGAGGAGATCGTCCTTGATGGAGCGGGTTTTTGGGAGGGCGTCAACAAAGTCATCTCCGCTGTTTATGACATTGTCCTGCTGCTGAAGGTGGTGGATGGCACTGGACCCACTGTCAGCAAAGTGTATGCGAAGATGGATAAGGTGGTGGAAAGATTGCGAGCCAATTCAAAATTTTAAAATGATGAGCCGGAGGACATCGAGGAAATGGTCATGCGCCGATGGAATGCTATGACCACACCGCTGCATTGTGCAGCATTATTCTTGGATCCGGAGTACCGCTCGTACGAGCCACAACACGACCCGGAGATCCAAAACGGGTTCTACACGTGGTTGTATACGTGGTTGAGGGGACGCTCGCAGGAAGTGATAGATCAGGTGGAATATGAGGTGGATTGTTGGGTGCAGAACATTGGGAAGTTTTCCACGGAGAAGGCGATGGAAGCGGCGCAGAAGCAGAACCCTGCAGCATGGTGGCTTCGGTGGTGTACCGACTTACGGTACTTGCAGCCACATGCCATTCGCCTTCTTGGTCAGGGAATATCTGCCTCGGGTTGCGAGAGAAATTGGAGTCTCTTCGAGGCAATCCACACACGCCCACGTAACGGCTTGGCCCCCAAAACAATGCAAGAACTCGTGTAATGCAGGTGGAATATGTACCTGCTTGACACCTTGCAGCAGATGCCCGAGATGGGCCAAGATGTGATTGACTGGGATGACCCGCCAACCGAGGACGAGCAGAAGGAGCAAGCAGATTGAAGCGGATTGAGTCGAGTGGGGAGGATGCTGGTCCACCTGCTGATGAAGGGGGTGAAGAAGGTGGTGATGAGGCTGCTGATCATCGCCGTGAGCCATGCGGATTGAATGCCATTGAGAATGGGCAAGAGGAGTGCAATACCCCATGCCATATGCCTCATAGAAATCTGAGGGCCGACCTGGCCGCCCTCAGCTAGGCCAAAAGCGAGGTAAGGGACCCCACACAGGGATTCAGGGCCTGGGCGTGCCACAGTTGACTTTTGTCAACTGTCGCGACCCCAACAGTCAAAGTCCAAAGGTACCCAGTCCAGGCCGCCGGTCAAGCACACACATCTGTTTGTATGCAGGTACCCAGACAGCATAAGGTCCAAGGGGAAAGTCTGCAACTGTACGATCCAAGCCTTCGGCTGTGGCTCAATCTGGACGACTAAGGGGAGGAGACCCGAGGCCAGAGAGTCTCGACAAACACTACTTAAAGACTGGCCTCGAGGTGGTCAGCATTCAGTCTTGCTATGCTGGTTCAACGCTGGCTTGACTTTGACTTGACGCTGGCATTATGCTAGCGCGACGCTGGCTAGACGCTGGCTGTGCATCAGAGCTGCGGACGACGACACGAGGGAGAGGCGACCCTGGCATTGTACGCCAGGCATGCTAACGTGGCGCTGCCTCTGGTACATGTGGCACTGCCTATGGTCTGCGTGGCATGCTGACGTGGCGCTGCCTCTGGTATACGTGGCGCTGCCTCTGGTATATGTGGCGCTGCCTATGGTCTACGTGGCATGCTGACGTGGCGCTGCCTCTGGTATACGTGGCGCTGCCTATGGTCTAC